AGGCAGACCCAAGGTATTCGGTTTATCTGGATTCCAATGCATGTATGATTCTAATTGCTGATGGAATTATGTTACGCTTAAAATTATGTTGTATTGTGGCGGATATAAGGTGTATTCAAATTACTGTGCATGCATTAAAAATATGCTTGTGTTCATTATCCCGTGCGATGACGTATTAGGAATTGTTTAAGCCTGAATAATATATAATTATGCACAGTTGTCATTTCGTAAAGAGTTTCATTGAACGCGGGTAAAGAAGGTTCTGCTCTGGCACCGCCTGCTGCCGTTTTGTCGGATGCGTTGCAGCAGGCCGTGCTTCCTTTGCAACCGCAATCAGTACAAGATTTTGGCAACGGAGCTCAGTCAGGTGCGGCTGTCTTGGCTAGCTGGAACACAAAATGCTGTAAGCTACGTGTTAGGCCTTCGAACTCCACTTCTACGCCAAGGAGACATGACGGATTTTTTTCTTTCGTACAATTTTTGCGCTATTTGTGGAACCTTCTGTTTTCTGTTTGAGGAGGGTATTCATTGCCTATTACAGGGTGAGTTATTTATTTGTCCGTTTCTGTGGGTCAGCATTCTCGCCCGTGTTTGTTAGGACTCAGGGGAATGTATTACCGCCTTTGTGCGGTGGTTTGCTTTATAATATTTTTGTTCTCGCCTTATTTTTTATTGGCGTTGCCACTTTGTTCAAGAATCGTTTGGGATTATCTTTACCCAAGGGGCTTACGACGCGCCGGGTGACCTGGCTTAATTTGTCCAAAATAATACATCGATAGTGAGTTCAGCATGTGGGGGATTTAACGCCTTTTTAATTTATGTGTTAATTGTCCAAAAGACGACAACGAATCCTTGTGAGGCAAATGGAGGTTAGCGGTGGAGGCTTCGTGATCCCGATTATAAAGTGACTGGGCATCGCTGTGAGCCTATTTATATAGTGACTGGCAGGGGTATCGATTTTAATGAGTGAGCGTCTTTGTGAGCCTGTTTATGCAGCCATGTACGATCTGCGATGGGTATCTTTGTTAGCCCGATTATAAAGTGATTGGGTATCGTTGTTAGGGGCACCCAACGACCCCCTTAAATACAATTTACTGAGATGAGAACTCCAACAAAAAAAATATATTTCTTAAAATCCATTTCGAATTCGCATATTATGGGTTTATATCTTATTCATTTAGAACCAATCGACAAATATGTTCATACACCACCGTAGCTCCCCTGACAACTGTACCCGATTCCAGACCAAAACGGCGCAAAAACCTTACCCTTTGGGGCGGCACATACCTAAATGGCTTATATAGGGAAGTACCCCCCTCCCCCCCCGTAACACATGCCACAAACAGCGTCTGTAGAAATTAAGGAAATTACCGAAATACTTCTCACAAGCAGTATCTCTAGAAATGTATCGCGAACTGAATTGCCCCAAAATTACTGAACAATCTTCAATCATTAGAGCATCTCGGGATATCAATTTCCTTCAAACCTAAATTCCCCCAGAGAAGCATTCCTATCTCCAAAGCTCACAGAGCGACCTTCAAGACCTAATGCAATAAAAACAGTACTGGCAACTCGATCCAACCAGCCTTCTCCACTAGAAGGGGTGTTATATGATGCATAATAAACGTAGCGATCAATATCAAAGTGACATTCGTGAGACATCACTGAAACGATAAACTAAACCCTTTATATTCATAAGAATGTTACATATAGTTTGTAAAAAGTGGTTAGCAGTATCACAGACCTTAAGCAGATCTTTTTTAAAGTTTATTTAATAATATCATTCACCTTTGACGACCTATTGCAGAATATGGTCAATCGAATGAGCCTTTAGCTCATTCAGTCTTGACTGCTTCCATCCAGTCTTCCCTTCTCTGATCGATAGGTAGGGAAGGGGGCTGTGTCTGACTGACTGTCGGACCTGGGGGAAGCCAGTTACTGTACCTTGGTCTTTTAATTAGAGGACCGTTCTACTGTAATCAAAACACTGCAAAACAACTACAAAACAGCATTAAAATTGTTTAAAAGTGCTTCATACAATATAAGTGACCGTTTGCCTGTTGCTGATCAGTATTTCCATACTCGGTTTGAGGTTTTGTTAGATAAGTACCTAGCAGTTGTAAAGAGTAAACTGGGCTGCTGTAGTACAGTGATTTAACTGAGAAAATCATCGTTGGCCAAAATTGCCTTAATTTATGTCCTGGTTTAATTTGTTCACAAACAAGGAGATTATAAAAGATTATCACTTAAAGGAATATAAAGACAGTTAGAAATCCATCCCATAGAATCAATATGACTAAACTGCGATTGGGAGTTCATACTTTACGTATACAAACAGGGAAATATGAAAATAAGGGAGCGTCTATACCAGTATAGGAAAGCCTTTGTCTAGTTTGTAAAAGAAACCGCATAGAAAGCGCTCGATTTAATGGAATACGATACACATGTGGTCTGAGACAGTAACTTTATTTTCATTTTTCCGAAAATGATGCAAACTTCATCAATTTATAAAATTACAGTTAATGATAGAACTTTATATTTACTTAGATTAGACAATGACAATACTTCACAAGTTATAGCCAAATATGCCCATGTAATGTTTCAAAAAAGAAAACAGATCTTGAGCCAAAAAATCTGGTTAATTAGATCATTAATAATCATTATCATTATTGTCGGAATAGTAATTTGTACTGTATAATTTTGTTGTTTCCGTTCGTGTTTTAGATAATCTATACTAGTATCCGATCAATATGAAATTATAAGCTAACAATATTTTCTCTCTGTCCACTTCTTAACTGTATATAATTGCTGTCCACACTAATTGATCTGTAAGTCAAAGGCATTGTTTGACTTCCTAGTAAGTTTCATTACTTAACTGTTTGCTTAATTTTGATTCTTGTAAAGCAGCCTAATAGTAGGACGATTTATCCTCAAATTAATTTGCAATACACTCTCTGAACCTAGCTAACCTATACACTCTCTGAACCTAGCTAACCGGACTATGTTATCTTACCTTAATTTTTTCTCCCTTCGTATTTTTTAATACAAGAAAGACAGAAAGCCACTTTGAGTGAAACTAAAGGGGACATGAAATACTGTCTTTGCGCCTTGCAGTTGTGTTTAATCAGTACCACAATAACGGCCATCACAAACAGGTATCTGATTAAGATAGTACACATAAAATGAACCACAGTTTCTCACTTTGATGTTTGTTGACCAATAACAGCAGTTACCATTATAACGAAAACACACCGTCCTGGTGACCTGACCGTCTCCTACTGTAGGGTGTCCACCACTCAACCAGGCTGGCAAATGAGTGCCACATCTATATTGCGGCGTACATGAAGTTGGTATTCTTGTACCAGCGGACCCTTCGAAACGGAACCACCCAGGTCCGATTCCACTGTCACAATAACCGTGGTAAGCAGTGTACGTGATCTTTCTGTCACCGCTGTTAAGACTTGCGTAATTCTGACATTCTGATACAGAAAAAAATAAAATAATAGTAGTAATAAGAATTAATTTAACTTTTAAAAAGCTAGAAAATTATTTAATATTTTAGAATTTCTTGTAGTTCAACTGGTTTCGTAAAGTTTTATCTACTGAACACAAACAGGTTCAAAGTGGGTAATTTTCACGTCCTCTAAGATCCCCCAGCACCAGCCCGCCACTGTCGCGATATCTGTCTGCATACGATTAATTGAGGATTGGTTACCGACTTTCACACACTGGTAGACATACAGTCAAGGTTAAGCAATAACATGGGAATGAGAGACAAATATATCAGCAGGCATTCTTAAGCTGCAGCTAGCTGCCTCGATCTGCGCCTGCAAATGGATGAGTGATCTCTGCTACGTACGATGAAGTAGGGAAATAGTAGGTTAAATAATAATTTTATGCACTAAAATTGGTTCAATTCATCACATTGACGCTAGTTTCTTTATCGTCTGTCCTCTTTGATGATAAAACTGCATCATAACATTGTCAAAGTGTTGTGGATCCACCGTAACACGAGCCCCAGGCGAGTGAATCTAGTAGAAAATTTGAAAATGTTGTGATCTGGCGTCAATTTGCTTTTCACTATAAAAAATGTTTGGAAAAAAGAATGAGTAAAATAACATTTTACTTTTTAAAAAGAAACTACAGTAGAACTTGGTTGATACGGACAATTAGGACAAATGCCTTGGTGTCCGTACCATCCGGCTGGCCGTAATACGTGGGCTCTCCGAAAAAACGTCCAGGGCAGATGTTTTATTGATATAAAGACTAGGACAGACAAAGAGGAAGAAGGGTAGGAAAAATGACTGCGGCGAAAAGCCAATAAGGAAGTGAAATTTTTGTAGCAGAAAATATTATTAAATAGCCATATAGTACAAGGGTCAAACATGGGAAGAAAGACTGACTTAAAATCAAACATATCATGCTATTCTGCTTCTTAAACCCAAAGAAATCTGTCATTGTTTGAACAGTATACAATATCTACAATTAGCATGTGATTGTTACAAGGAAAATATATAGACAGCACGCAGATAACCAGTGTCTGTAAATAGCAGGGGTTAACAATGTATGCGAGTTTGTGCCTCGGGACACAAAAAAGTGTCCGTTGTCCATATTAAACGGTGTCCGTATTAAGCGGGTAAATTTTAGAAAGTCTCCGTTATATACGGTGTTTCGTCTTGCAGAAATTAAAATTTTGTGTTTGTCCTCTTATTGTCGATATAAATTAGCCAATGAGCGCACGAGAATTAACCCAGTCAGATTGTAAAAAAATAGAGGTCATAAAAACGTTGTAGTGTCGGTAATAAGAGACTTTTACTTTATACCTTTGTAACTGTTATGAGGTTGCCTTGGAACTTTGGTACCAAGGTCGAGTTTCAAAATCCCTTGAGTTAGGATGCCCATGAACTCAAAAGGAAGTCTGAACTATTCCTGTTTGATATTTTCATTACCTGCAGTTTCATGCAATTTCATTTCATCTTCTGCACGGATCGGTGTGCGTCAAGGGATCTCATAGAGCAAATAACGGAAAGCAGGGAACTAGGGTGCTAACCATTTGACGGAAAATTTGGGAAATTCCGGATGGAAGGTAAATGGTAAGGTCACTTTTCGAAAATTCCAACCGAAAATTGAGGAGTACGTTTTGATGTAGTCCGTTCATTCCGGTTGGTACGAACTAAATGGAATGTTGCTTACCATTAACTAATTTCTCGGTTCCTTCTCGGTTCGAGACTCACGCGACACAAATTCGCCCTTTTTTTGGATTCAAACCTTAACGGATGTGGCATTTCTATGGTATACTGGCAAATCGCTTACCATTATGCTTTCGACTCCCCAACCGGATTTTTCTGTCAAATGGTAAGCACCCCTAGACTTAACTAGACTTCCTGGAGATATACCCTTTATAAAAACAAGCTCGCGCAAGTGTCAGATACGCTTGAAGCTTGTTATCATAATGATCACGCTGAAAAGCGTAAAATAACAAACGCCTATAAAGAATTTTTTCTTTCTGAGCTTTCGCGCTAGTGGCATGGTACTCTCTCTTCAAATGGTGCGGTTTTAATCTCGCAGTCTAGCTACTGCGAATTTCAGTGACGTTACACTTTAGCCCCTCCAGAGTTTATTAAACTCAGTCGGAGGCGTAGAGTCCATATTCTCCATATTTGGCATACCCGATCTCCCTATCAGTCACGGTCTCTTTCCATATAAGGAGCATATTAAGCAACCACGACTGCGACGGCATGGAGCGAAAACGCCACAAAAAAGTGTATTCACGCTGTTTCAAATTAATTTTTATCACTCTTATTCCATTTCGTTCAAGTTGATTGTCATATGGTGGTGAATGGTTTTTTGGTGTTTAATTCTAGGGTAATGTACGTATCTCAATGTAGGAAAAGGGAAAACAATCGTTTTGTAGTCTGAAAGCGTTCCGTGTTTAGTAATGTTTAAAACACGAACAGCAGTGTTTTATCACTGGTTTAACATTCGAGCGTAATAAGCGCAAGATTTTTTAACCAGTGATAAAACGCGTGCCTTGGTTTTTTTGACAAGCCTTAAAAAATTCGAGTTTATTTAACACATGTTAAGGGACTTGCTTCGCCCCTTATCTGTAACAGGTTTAAGAAAATGGATGATGCGCACTCTCGTAATATCGGAAACAGAAACAAGGGAGGCCTGCCTTCCTTTAGATTCACTGCCTGTCAGCGACCATGAGCACTCCGCCTCTGGAATGACTTTGCAGAATCTTTAGGTAATATAGAGAATCTCGAGCAGCCTAAGGCTGAAGTGAAGAAGCGTCATTTCCTCATTTCATTTTTTTTTCCAATAAATTTCACATATCGTTAAATAGACAATTATGCTTTTAGTATCAAATTGTAATTGAAAAGTTAGCTGAAAAGCCATTTTATGGGGTAGGCTGATGAACTATTTACATACTGTTACTAAATAGTTCACTTCAATAGGATTGCTAAATAACGGTTTTCTCTTTTTAACTAAAAAAAATAATAATAATAAAATGGGAAAACAAAAAAGCCAAAATAACAAAGGTTGGTCAGATATAATTATGTAAATACATTGTACAACCTCAAGTACACAGTTTAAAGACCTGTTCACGTGTAGGTTATTAACCCGCCTGTCCATATTATCTCTCATTTTAATTTGGTCAAGTTTACATAATAGATGGCGGTGACCATATGAGAGATTGTACGGACAGGCGGGTTACCCTACCTAAGCGGGTCACCTCACTAACATGGGGACCCCCACCTCCATGTAAACAGGCCCTAAGCGTCTACCTGCCTTCGCAAAACGGCTATCCAAATAAAAGAAATTTCCACAGTTATTCTGAATCGTGCAAGAGGGAAAACGTTCGAAGAGAGTGTCACTACATCTAGCTGCGATGCGACGCGACATAATGGGAGTTTGATATAAACTAAGTTTTGCGGAATTGCAAACCGGTAACTGAGGCAGACTGGTACACGTAAGAATCACTTCACCAACTTATTCTTTGATCGATGAATAAACAGTAGTGAAATTGGATTAGTCTGGTGATTTCTCAGTTAAAAAACTTCGACATTTTGGTGAATAAGTTTTTTAGTATTTTAATATGTTTATTTATAGTATTCACATTAGATCTTTCAGTCATTTTAGCTCGTATTTTTCCTCATGCTGAAGACTGGAGGGCTGGTATTGTGTCACGAATGGCAATATTTCTTTTTTCTCCTTGTTGTTTCTTTTTAGGAGCTTAGACTCCCTTTTGTGAATTTTATTTCTGATAGTAGGTTTTCTATCAAAGATTGTTTTTAGCCTCCGTCCATCAAGCGTTTTTTTTTTTTTTTTAAATTTGAATTATTTTCCTAAAATATTGTTTCTGAGGAGTCTTTTCATAGGACTCTCAAGGCTTCTCCTTTGACAAATCCTTTTTTAACATTTGGAGGGTTACACGAGGTGAAATGTGTGTGCAAGAAAGTTTCCGTTTGTTTAAAATGTGTCTTTGCATCAAGGATAGATTTTTCCTTGAATCTAGTGCCTTTGTATACAACCGTGTCTAAAAACGCAGTCTCAGTGTCAAATGTTTCGAATTCAATGGTTGGATGATGTAAGTTTCCTTCTTCAATGAAGGCTTTGATGTCTGGTTTACTCATGTCCCATAGGGAAAAGATATCGTGTATGTAGCACTTCCAAACTGTTGTTCTAAAGACAGGTTTGCTTAGAGTTGTTGTTTCAATATATGTCATGAAAATATTGGCAAAGGAATCAAAACTGCTGTACGTCTTTGTGCCCATTGCAGTTCCATTGTTTTGTAAGTAGTGCTTTCCATTGAAGTGGAAGAAATTTTCTTTGAGGATTAACCTAGCATTTCCGACAAGTAACGTGTGGGAATGAGTTTTCTTTGTAGAAATTTTCATATGCTTTGTGACAGACAATTTCAATAGACCCTCGTTTTTCTGTATATTTGTGTCAAGACTCGATCAAGACTCATATAACGTCCATCGAAACAAAAAATGTTCGTTGTTTCACAGTTGTCTTTTCAGTGAAAGGTATGATTTCTGTGATTTTGATATTGGTTGTAGAAGTGTATCAACAAATTTTATTGTCAAACACAGAACAAGGTTTTATTGAGGGACGGACCATTAGAAAAGTGATGGGGGGGGGGGAATTCATGCAAGGGAAAATGCCAAGAAAAAAATTCATGCAAAGAAGAAGGTAAAGAAAAAAAATTTATGCAGAAGGAAGGTCCAATTGTGACTTTTTCATAAAGTATGAGTTTCTTTCAGAAAGTCTGAGTTTCAGAAATCAACAATATTACCAGGCACAATACGAATAAACAAAAATCACTTTCCTCTTATTGAAAGGAGACAATTAGAGCCTTGTTTTTGTTTTAAATTGCAGCTAGTGTACCTACAACATACACTGTATACTGTATTATAATAAAAATAATAAAATAAAATTTGTAATAAATAAATATTAGAATTTGGTAGCTTTGTAAATATTCTATAAAATTATTTGTAGAGGATGGGTCTTACCGCCTTGAATAAGAATTCTATAATACAATGAAGAAGTGCATTCTCACGTAGTAGTAAGAGACTGTGCAATAATTATCAGGAGGGGGGAGCTGAAAAACTAGAGGGGTGGGGCATTACATAAAATTGCTGCCAAGATATGGGGGGGCTCAAAGTAAAATCACTCATTCGAAATGTAAATAAAATTAAACGCAATAAAAGATTCTCAATACAGGCATCATGATAGACTGTAACAAATATCAATACGAACAGCTGTTAAAGGATTATTGAAAATATTCCATCAAAATAAAAAGCAAATTCACAACTGATCAATTTTAACCCGTCTTCTAATTAATTGAGCTGATCCTATGTAAAGCAAAAATCGTGAACTTGTTTTTCAGCCTCCCCCGTAAAACAATGGGAATCAAACAGATCTCGTAGACAAGCTTTGTCGGTTTTTGATGTGAATAAAAGTAATGTTTCTTCATCGACTGAATCGATTTGCTGAATTCCATATATATCTGGCTCATAACAAAGTTCAACAGGCTCTCCTTCCAAGGATCTAAATATAATGCAAGCTCTTTTTCGTCTGTTATTTGAAGCGTTCAATCTCCTGTTCTTTGATTTTTTTTCTCTGCTCCTTTCTCTTTCTGGCTTCAGAAGTTTTCGATTTTGAGCCAACGTGGTAAGCACCCCGGTACTTAGCAAATGCTTTGTCTAAATGTTCAATCAAGCGATCGACATCCTTCTCGATACTAGATGTTACATAATAACTTTTGTCATTATTGAAGCTGTGATGGCAGCTCAGCCCAGTTTTGAGTTTACCAGTGTTTCCAGACGACGACATCCAACAAGTAAGCGTACGCTTACAGTCGCATGACAATATAATGGGTATTTCCTTAAAGGCATCTGTGGTAATGGTGGCGGTGAGGGGTGGTTGTGTGTGTGTGGGTGGGTGGGTGGTGGTAGGGGAGGCGCGACGTTATTTTTAATATAACAGAGGGGAGTTAGAACTACTTTTTTTTGTTTTGGAGGGGGTACTGTCTAAGTTTTTGCTCGATAACTCTAGTTTTTCAGCCCCCCCCCCCTCCTGATAATTATTGCACAGTCCCTAAGTGTTAAAACTTTACCTGTCAACGACATAAACAGCAACACTGCCACCGGTACTTTTAACAAAAATTAGGAACCACAAAGTATGGTTTTCATTGTTGAATGGAGTACGGCATCATTGTGATGGGCTGTGGGAGAGGAATTCCAGAGGGCACGGACTGAAAAAATGCACAGGAAAGCCCTCCACTCCAATTGGCTTCCTCCTCTCTCACTGTGTGTACATTTTCGAAAAGATTTTGCATTAAAGTGGCCTGTATCCTTTGATCTGTTGTGAGTGTAGAATAATTTATAAAGCACAAAAACATAGATAATGAATCAAGATTTCACTGTTCAAATATTTGTCTGAAAAAAAAAATTCGTGCAGAGGGGTTCACCCGAAAAAAAAAATTTCTGCACTAGCGGTGAGTGAAAAAAATAAATTCGTGCAAGCTGAAAATTCCCCCCCCCCCCCCGCCCCATCACTTTTCTAATGGTCCGTCCCTAAGAGGAAACCAAACATCCATGTATTAACAAGGGGGTAGGTCATGGAATTTCCAACCTTGCTTTAGGGGTGGGTAGTCATTTTTGCGCCGAAGGGAGGGGGTGGGCCATGTGTTTTTTATCAACCACATTTCCAAATGCTCCGCCTCCCCAAAACACCCCCCAACACTTTTTGACCAGTGTTAAACACACACTAGTATGCGCAAAAGGCACCAGGGCAGTACCCGGCAAACAGAAAGCGTCAGTCATAGAGCAGCTGGTTGTAGACAACTCAACGAACAAGATTATTGTGTTCGTAAAAGGAAAGAACTGTTTTCACGGACCCAAAAGATCGTCAAAATAACCATTACCGCACCCAAAGAAAAAAGCCAACTCTAAGCATTAGATCTTTTGCTGGCTCAAAGAAATCAACATCTTTCTTTAAAGTACATGTAATTTGTACTTACGAAAAATCATTGTTGTAACTGATGTTGCAGTTCTAACTATCGAGACTATTAAGATCGTGTTTAAACCTGTCTTTCTGAAACAGGTTCATTTATTAAAACCCTTGGATATCTTTATGACGCTTTTGAAATACGCGCGAAAAAGGTACGTCTGTAAAAAAAAGGTAACACAGGGACGCGAAAGAGAATGTCGACAAAGTCTGTATCGAGGTACAAAAAACTTTTGACAACACAGGTGGAAAACCTACACGCGGTTTCTCACTTCAACACAAAACATTTAGTGCTTTAAACTACGCCCAAGACTTTGGAACCACAATGAAGGAATAGCTTAAAAAGAATTACGAATTCGAAGGGCTGCACTCAAGAAAAATCGAATTGTCCCTTGTCAAATACTTTCATGCCTCTGTTAGCACTTTCAACTATGTCTCTCCCATCGGTGCAAACATTACCAAAAGAAGTTGAAGTTGTGATGAGGGACTGGATAGAGAACTTTCGCCCTGTTTGACAACGAATCATAAGAAGCGAACGATCAAGATAACTAAAGTAGGATTTTTACCCCCACCGTCACGGTACTATGTCATGCTATTTGCTATCTTTTTAAAAAGCTAAAACTTTTTTTTTTTTTTCATCACTTGAATTCCAAAATAATGGTCCTGCCAGTTTCGTTATTTAAGAGTATATTTTGGCAATGATTTTTTCCCGTCGTCTGTTGCAATGGATTGAAGGATTGAAAATGGATTGAAACTTAGGCCAGCAACAAGCACCCAACAAGATACAGGACATACAGCAACCGGATAAGTACACGAGACTGTTTCAGATAATGAAAGTGACAAAGAAGGTAACTTTGAAGTAGTTTATGGGAGGACACGCATGACCAGGTCGGGAAGATCAGCACGAGATCATGACTGGTGAGTCTGGATCTCTGAGGCTGGTGTCATGTTGATGGCTATACGACTTAATCTAATTTTAATAGGGGTCTTAATAGCTATCGCTTACCCTTTTTTACTACTTCGGTTAGATAATTGTATGTTCTTTTCTATATTTTTAGTTACTTATAAATTGTACTAGTGGCGGAGTTTATGTAAATTCATGTAAAAATATACCTTGATTTCAGAAAATTCGGGTTATGACGGAATGATATTCTCTGTAGGAAAGTGAAAGATAATAGCTAACCGAAATTTAGTAGTTAACTGAGAATTGGGTACCCCCATTAGCACCCTCTTAAAAAAATGCGAGTTTATTTAACACATATTAAGGGACTTGCCCGCAGCCCCTTATCTGTAACAGGTTTAAGAAAATGGTTGATGCGCACTCTCGTAATATCGGAAACAAAAACAAGTTAGACATGCCTTCCTTTAGATTCACTGCCGGTCAGCGGCCATAAGCGGTCCGCTTCTGGAATGACTTTGCAGAATCTTCAGGTAATATAGAGAATCTCGAGCAGCTTAAGGCTGAGGTGAAGAAGCGTCATTTCCTTATTTCATTTTTTTCCAGATAAATTTCAACTACGGTAGATAATTATGCTTTTAATTATCAAATTGCAATTTTAAAGTCAGGGCTTCTGATATGTCGCGGAAAAAAGAGTCAAATTTGGGGATTTGTAGGGACAAAATCTTGGCCGGAAAGAAATCGGTAAAAAAACGGCGGATTTTGTGGTTATTTTCGGGGCAAATTTCGCTAGAAATCGATCGGTTTTGCGCTGATCAGACCAGCGTTTTTAATGTCTTTCTAACTGAGGTCATCACTTGCTCTTTCAACAACAATACGCTTCAGAAATGAACCAATGGCAAAGCCTTTAACATCATGGCTAGTGCCCAGGTTTTCGTAACATAATCTACGCCTGGTAGTTTCGGAACGTTGTTTGCGCGTTTCAGTGACGAAGTTTTGACATAAATTTGCGAATTTACGGCAAGTAAATTCCCCCAGTAGCTGAGACAAGTTTCAGAATTGCTGTACACACAAGTATTAGGTAAGATTTCTATCGAATTTTGCGGTATTTGCGTGTTTTCGAGAATTTTGCGGGTTTTCGCGGATTTACCTGAATTTCGCGGCTCCCCGACCGCGCGAAATATTAGAGGCCCTGTAAAGTTGGCTGAAAAGCCATTTTATGGGGTAGGCTGATAAACTATTACTGTTACTAAATATTTCACTTCAATAGGATTGCTAAATAACGGTTTTCTCTTTTTAACTAAAAAATAATAATGATAGAAAGAGAGCATATATAAAAGAAGCAAAAATAACAAAGGTTGATGAGATATAATTCAAAAAGTGCAAATACATTGTACAACCTCAGGTACACAGTGTAAAGACCTGTTCAGGGGTAGGTAAGTAACCCGCCTGTCCATATAGTGTCTCATTTTAATTTGATCAAGTTTACATGATAGGTGGCGGTGACCATATGAGAGATTCTATGGACATACGGGTTACCCTACCTAAGCCCCACCTCCATGTAAACAGGCCCTAAACGTCTACCTGCCTTCGCAAAACGGCTATCCAAGTTAAAGAAATTTTCACAGTTATTCTGAATGGTACAAGAGGGAAAAACGTTCGAAGAGAGTGTCACTACATCTAACTGCGATGCGACGCGACATAATGGGAATTGATATAAATTAAGTTTCGAGGAATTGCAAACCGGTCAGTGACTGTTACATGTAAGAATTGTTTGCGTCTCACTTCACCAACTTATCCTTGGCTCGATGAATAAACAGTCGTGTAATTCGATTAGTCTGGTGATTTCTCAGTTAAAAAACTTCGACATTTTTGTGAATAAGTTTCTGCAAATAATTTTTAATTTTGTTGCAAATTAGGATGACCGTAGTACATAACATTTTATGTGTATTAGTATTTACATGAAATATTTCAGACATTTTAACTCTTATTTTTCCTCAGACCTCAGACTGAATTGAAAGCCTTACCCCCGCCCCGAGTGAGTGAGTGAAGTCCATTGGACGATATCCCTACTGAATACTGATAAGTTTTGAAGGAGGTTTCACATTACTGAAAAGCATGATAAACTGGCAAAGTTGCTAATCTAAATTTATGATTTTTATGAGGTTCTCGTTCCTGTGGTGGCTTTCTATTGTAAAAGCTCCTTATGTAAAAAAAAAAAGTGACTTGCGCACGGTACAAATGCATTACTAATTATTGAAGTCTCATTTATCTTCGTTTGGCGCTTTTCATAAAAGGTCGTAAAGCAAATTGGAACAGAATTAATAAATAAAGGTAAAGGGAAGGAAGAGCGAAATAAAATACACTGTAAGGGAAGGAAAGCAGATTTAGCCAACTGAATTTCTCTCAAAAGTTACCGTGAATGAATAAAAATAAAATCCAAACACTAGATACTGAAAGAAAAAGATACTAACAAAGATAAAAAAAGATACTAACTAGCAAATTAAGGTTTAGGGGAACATTCTCTGAGAATCTATTTCCGAACTTTTCGTTAGACAACAGTTGGGTCTCGATGGTTAAAGTTGACCGCATTCGCAGTTAATCGGCAAAATTAGAGAAATCAATTCTCCGGATTGAACGGCAATAGTGCATATAATTATCGTGAATAATGTAATGGCTCGCTCGACGTGATCAATGTGGATGATTTTCGACTCCCCACCTTGACATGGCGGAAACAAGTTCAAAGTTTTCCTCTTCTATTGAGACCTTTATTGAGTCACCAATATTTCATATATTTAACAATTATCGAATGAGGCTAAGTATGATGTGAAGGAGCATGCCATCGATCGCGATTGGGTACTGCCTACATCGGCTTCCAAATATGGTAACTATGTGCTGTTTGTGAGGATTTAGCGGCGGGAAAGACAATCAGAAACGGTAATATATTGTTAAATAATATTGAGAGGAAACAAGATTTCAAGCTTGTGGCCCCTTCCAATCTTACTCCCCCGCTTCTGTTTAAACCATTCGCGTGAGAAGGGTCTAACGACAAAGTGATTTATGCTGGTTGGATCTTTAAAGTATGTAGTACCCCGGTACTATTCGCCTTGTGTAACGGATTTGCAACGCGCTATTTTCATATATTTCTTATAGTGAAGTTTCTTTATCTCTCGCAAAAAATGGACCAAGAACCCTTTGATCGATGATGCTCAAAGTTTTAAATTGGCCACTGATCATGAGTCCATCCGATCATTTCATGGCAGTTTATGTGGTTGTTGTCGTAAGGTTTCAGTTCCTCTTCTATTTTCTTGCTCAAATCGCGACTAAATATCGTACTCTTGCACCTTTCTCCGGAGTACTGAATTCTGAATACTGAATATCGTGGGTGTTTCTTGGTGTTGCGGAAACCGCCGCTTTTGTTTTGTGTTGTGGGTATTGATCAGTTTTTTTCTCCGCAACACCAAGACCATTTTGCAGTGCATTATTGTGATTGTAGTGATGTTTATAAGAATTAGTCCGTTAATTCCAAAACCGCTATCTTGAAATATTGCTTAATATAAGAGGCTGCAGGAGGCAATAAAATCTAGAAATGTGAGAAACTCAAATAGTAATTAAAAGGCTGGTTTAGTCAAGTGGGTAATAATCGAGTATAAGCACAATCTAACCGGACTAGGGACGATCCTATCCCTACAAGTGGAAGTCACTAGTAAGTAAACTGTTGCAATAGTTCTTTAATGGGCCTTAGCTTGTGCAAAGGTGGTCATGATACACGTATTCGTGAGTCGTAAAAAGGCAAGCAAAAGGGGAAAAGACCAGAATAAAAAAATATATATATTGCAGACACTACATACAGCGCGCGCTGATGTCAATACTCATGTCACTCCCCCACTATATATATGCAGTTCCCACTATATATATATATGCAGTTTGAGTGGCTAATAAAAAAAGAAAATTGAATTTGATTGATTGATTGATTGATTGATTGATTGACCATATCTTGCTTTCGGCTTCGTCGACAAGAGATCTGGGTAATAATAGCATTAAACTGAAACCCTTTTAAAACAATCAAGGTTAAAGCAACATGCTTCTAACGAGTGTAAATAGGGGTCTAGTAAATGGACATCTTCCTAATTGTTGGTGATTATTTACCGTATGGAATATTAATGCAAGTTTTGCCATCTCCGATGTAAGGACTGCTACATGAACAACTAAAGGATCCCACTGTGTTTGTACATGAAGCAAGTGAACTGTGGCAGTTGTGAGTACCGTGGGCGCACTCGTCAATATCTACAAAAAATAAATACAATACAAGTAAGTGTAATCATAACCTTTATAACCGTATTCTTTGCAAAGGAGAAGCAAGTTAAACGCAATTAATTAGTCTAAGCTTGATAAAAGAGAAAAATGATCGCAAGTTTGAACAATCGATATTGTTAAACTTATTGGACAAAAAATATCGTACCTACACACATCTTACGACTTGGCGCCTCTTGCCGACCTGGCCCCGGTTGTTCAAAAGATGGATAACCCTATCCAGTCGATAAATCTCTATGCAGGGGATAGCGCAATTGATAACCTAATACTTATCTACTGAATAGCGATTTATCCGTTGGATAGCACTCTCCAGCGTTTGTACAACCAGCGCCTGTACTTTATTTTTAATTCATTGCTTCCATAATCTGTCTGCTTGACATCGCCTGTCTGTTGGCTTACTCCAAGCGGCCATTTTACTGCATTTTGTGCCATCTAATCAAACATTTTATTGGAAGGGCAAAAAGAGTACAAATAGTGTGCTGCATTGCTGTTGTAGCTGGTTTACTCGAAGAACAAGTATATAAAACAAATATAGACTTAAACGCCTCACCAGTGCATGTGTATCCATCGCCTGTGAATCCTGCTTTACAGGCGCATGCGTAGGATCCCACATTATTGCTACACACCGCATTAACGTCACAGCTGTGAGAGTTGGTAGAGCACTCATCGATGTCTAGGGGAAAAAAGTGAGGATCGAAACCTTGTCGTAAGTCATGCAGCAGATCCAGTGATCAGTAAGGTCATATATACATGATTGTATTCTCGTTTACGCTGTGACATTAATCCTATTTAACTACAAATGCCTTATAGCAAAATATTAAGAGTGAGAACTAGTATGGAAATAAAAAAAAATAAAAAAATAAAAAACAGGGAGTATTCCTCTCTAGAAAAAAAAAAAACGAGCCAAAGCGATTTTCATAACATAACTAGCGAAATGCCCCTGTTGGCTCAGTTGCCATACCATAGATTTTTTTGTTAAGAATGACTCCAGCTAAGGCCATCATACTTATTTATATTTAATTGTTTTCTGCAACTTCCTTTAAGTTCGTTTTGTTGTGTTTTACATGAATTGAAATTTTATATAATTTATGTTATGCCCATCCTTCTTTCTTTCTTTCTTTCTTTCTTATTTACATTTTTTCATGTACTGAACAAATATAGCAAATAGAGGGGCGTAGAATCACATTTAGATCGTTTTGAAAGTCATTTTTTACATTACCACAACATCTTACTGGAGCATGTTTTTCCATCGCCTGTGAATCCTGCTTTACACGCGCATGTGTACGATCCAGCAGTATTGCTGCACACCGCATTGGCACCACAGCTGTCAGAGTTGGTAGAACACTCGTCGATATCTGCATGAGAACGAGTAAATTGCATAGGGTGTTAGAATCAGTGATATTACATCGATCTGTTAGTTCTTATCCGGTCGATAAAATCGTGTATTTGTTTTTATTATTATCATTATTTATTTATTTATTTATTTATGTTTACAAAATCTGATTATATTTACCCACACGACAGGTACTAACGACATGACAGTGTTGAGCTTGTGTCTTCTCTTCAATTATTACCGTCGAACCTCCCTTAGCGACCACCCAAAATGCGAACATTTAGTGGTCGCTTACGAGAATGGGACAAGAGGTGGTATATCCCATTAGTCAGGCCCCAAAACTTCTATTTTTGTTTTAAAAATAATTTATTTTACGGAATTTACGATATTTGTAATTCCTTCTCCGCTTATGGGCAGAGGAGTAGTCTAAAGGCGGACCCAGGAGTTTTTCAAAGAGGGGGTTGTAAGTATGGGAGTTCAAGGCAAACGTCCCAGGGCCAAAAGAATGCGGGACGTGGGAGCGTTAGGGTTAGGGTTAGCGTTATGTTTGAATATGTAGAATGTGTAGATTTTCTTCGTTTTGCTTTCAGAGGTATAAATTTGAGGCACTATTGTTAAGGACTATGAGTACAGTGCAACAACGATAGCTGTTTGTCTTCTTTTCACCCGCCTATTTAATTTTACAGACTAGCGCTAGCTTGAAAGAGCTTCTTGGATGAGCCTTTACAAAGGCTTGGCATATCTTGTCTACCTCGAATCTCTCGGAGTAGTATATGGCGATCACTGCAAGATCAGATAATCGCTCTTTAGGCATTGTTGACCTAGAGCAGTTCTTGATTCATTTCATCAGCGAAAACGATCGGTCAGCTTCTGCGCTTGTGATCGGGTAGGTGCATGCAATGACCAGAGGGCGATAGATGTTTGGAAAATCGTCTTCATCGCAAACCCCAAGTGCTAATAAAAGGTTTTTTGGAAGCTCCCTATCTGTTGAATGCCAGTCAGAGTGTTTTCCATCTACGTACCTCATTTCCCAGGGATTTGAGAAATGAAATGTCTTTCTCCCAGGACCTACTTCATCATCCAGCTGCAGTGCCTTATTTACTGTAATCGATGGCACGAGACAAAGCAGATGGCGGGCGTGGCGATTTTCGTCTGATGAATAAGGGGTCGAGAAGAGGAATAGCTACAGTCTTCTTGTAATTATCGATTGGACTGGAACTTACTTATCATACTATTTTTTGGTAAGGGATAGACCTGGGTAGTCAGACAAGTTTGAAAACTTCCCAAGGGGGGTGGGGGGGTTACAACCCAGTCAACCCTCCCCGTGGATCCGCCTCTGTAGTCTCACAGGAAGGTTCGACTGTATTTCAAATACCATTGCAAGGTTTTCCATATCCTGTGTACCCAGCATTACACGAGCATGTGTATGAGCCCACGGTATTCTGGCATACAGAATTGACGTCACAGGAATCCGAACCAGTGGTACATTCATCCAAGTCTATAAAAGAAAGCACGCAGAGACTTCTTGTAGAAACGAAATGACTTTTTTAGTCAATGAAGCTTGTTTAAGAAGTACAGTTTTATATACTGTAGGGTATTTGAGTAATTAACGCGCGCTAGCAAGGGAAAATAAAATACCAGAAGGAAGGAACATGCGAAAAAGGGTCGTTAGCTATACCCTGTACTCACTTTTGTTAAACATTTGCAAAGAAGTGTCTTGAAACCAAAATAGAAGTCAGCACGACTTTTCCCGTCGTTACAGTGGAAAATAGGGACCTTACGATCCGACAACGGCGACGTCCATGAAAACCTCGCTGAAAAGTAGACTCCGCATCCTTCCAAACAATTTTGCGATTATCCCAAGTCTCCCAGTTACTTAAAAGAAGGGAATTTATGTTGGAGCTGGAGAGGGGGCCGCACCCGATTTCAGACAGAGATGGTAGAATTTGTCGCGTTGCCGTTCCCGTCCTCAAAAAACCTTGAGGTCATTTCACGCCGTAGTCGTGCACGGAAGGCAAAGAAATGTTACAGTACAAAAAAACGTTCTGCACGTGCAGAGTTGTTGTTTTGCTAACTAAACCTATTGCCGGCTTTTTGACATTGCCGTCGCCGTAGCCGTCGCCGTAGCCGTCGCCGTAGCTGTCGCCGTAGCCTTCGCCGTAGTTGTCGTAGTTTCGTAAGGTCCCTAATATTCGCCGAACGCCAACGGAACGTTTTCCTAGACAAAAGGGTGGAATGTAAATTCGACTTCCAATATTTCTTTAAATCAATTTGTGATTCCGATTTCAGGCCCTTGCGGCCATTTTTTGGTATAAATGGACATTTTTTATGCAAAATGTAGGTGGTAATCCCCAATTTCTCCAATACCGAAAGCACTCTAACTTCAGTTAGTCTGATTGGTGTTGCTACTTTTCCATGCAATCTGTTTCGATCATTTTTGGCGTAAAATCAAATGCTGTATATGCTCTTTGCTTGTTAAATTAAAAAAAAATACATTTTTAAAAATGTCTAGAAGCCTTTCTGGTTCATGAGGATTAACATAGATATAAATCTTACTATGCCTCGTACCTTTAAAACAAGTATAATTATAGCAGTTATGACAAAGCACATCATTCCAAGCGTAACCATGCTTGGCTCCAAGAGTGTGAACACAGTCTTCGTTTTTCCAGTCGTTCGGTTGCTGTGGGGCCCAGAACCTAAAACTACTTATTTCTTTGTTTGTCCACACAAAGGAGCCCTCCACACTTCGGTCATTGAGCCCAATCCAAGATCTCTCTCCGTTGTGACGGTGTTGAATGTAGACATTTTCTTCTTGATTGTAAACCGTTACCAAAGTGGAACTCATCGTAGAACAGTTTGACTCAGCGGTAAGCCATGAGGCACATGCTCGACTTGTGAAGTAACAGTAGCCACCAAAATAACTCCATCTTGGCTGGC